GTAGTGAATACTGTCCCTCTGCCAGACATTTTTTTTGTCTATTATGTTTTTCTTTTCCTTACTATTAGACAAGAAGGTACAATTTGGGTTGTATTTCTACTCCTTCTGGGCCACAGGGAGGCTGGAGACTTGTTCACTAATTAAAAAAAAATAATGGTAAAGAGTCTTTTAGAATATTCTTTCTTCAGACAAAACAGTATTAGGTTTGCCACTTTGAAATGACTTGGCAAGTTGCTTTCAATTTAGAGCCATGGTGTTCACTATATAATTAGAGTGTCCTTAGGCACCTATGAAAATTTAGTAATGCAGATATTTTCTTGATGGATTTTGAGTATCGGACACTCTTAGTATCTTCAATGATACATTTCCTAGGAAAGTAGTCATCAAACAACACACTATCCATAATAACCAACACTTCATTAATAGACTTTCATTCAAATTTGGAGTTGGGATTTTCCAAGACTAACTGAACTTTGCTTATTCTTTTTATTATACTTCACAAATGAGAGCTCATCAATATAATCATTGTATTCATTGTACTTGTTAATATCTTAACAAGATAATATTGTAATATCTTAACATTATTAAGGCTGGAGAAAACAGTGAGAAGCACCTGTTCCAGTAAATTTTGCTTTTGAGATGATCTTGCAATCACAGCCAAGAAAATGAGAGAGTTAAGTTGATGGAGAACGAAACTGATTTTAAGTGCCCCTGAGAGAATGAAGAAGAGAGAAGGAGGAAAAAAATAATCATGCCACGTTTGACTCTGGAAAATAAACAGCTTCATCATATATCAGTGCCTAAAATATATATGAGTGAACATTAGAATTGCAAATGAATTAGGGGAGGGAAGAACTCTGTCTGCTTTTACATAATTTTGTTTTGCTTTGGGCGAGGGGATGTATTTTCCTACTAGAAACTAAGAATGAATTCCTAACTTCAGGCGGAGGCATGGACAAGAATTACCCTGTTTCATGTGGTGATTAGAAAATGGATGTTGTGTTGAAGATCCATTTCTTTTAAAATCATATGAGTGAAATCTAATGAACCTGATTAATTAGAAAAAGAAAGAGCACTCGTGGCAGAAAAAATCTTACCACAAATATATGGTTAATTATTGAAGTGTGATGCCTTGTGTATGAATATGTCCAGGCCCCAGTCCTTTGGTTTTATATTCAGATAAGGAGCCAGGTCCTGCCTGACTAAATGATCAAGTCTTGGTTGGATTTTAAGTGCCCCAGAGAGAACAAACAATGATCACTGACTCCCTATGTCATGTTGCCTCCAAAGTGCTGATTGTTACTTTTTAAACAGAAACTTCAAGGTGGATTTCCACCTTGATTATTATTACTAGGTTTTGGAATTTTTCTGCCTAGTGTTACTTTGAATGCAAGCATGATGTTTCTCTTCATCTATCCACTCAGAAGACTATAATGGGAGTTAGATGGAGGCAAGCCTGAGAGTACAGCCCAGCTCTTCCAAACATGTGACCTCAAACAAGTTATCCTAAGACTTGGGGCTTGAACTTGGAGCATTCCTACAATTCACAGGATGTAATGTTTTTATTGACCCCCAATATATCCAACTCAATGGACATGAGTCTGAGCAAGCTCCAGGAGTTGGTGATAGACAGGGAAGCCTGGCATGCTGCAGTCCATGGGGTCGCAAAGAGTCGGACACGACTGAGTGACTGAACTGAACTGAGTGTATTTGTTCTGTAGGATGTAGAGGAGAGCTCGTAGTTTCTTTTTTTTTTTTTTTTAACAGATGGCACACATCCAGGGACTTAGGAAAGCAAGGTATGTATGTCCATAATTAAACCCTTTTTGCATGGCTGACTAAAGCAGGTCGAGGGCAGTGTGGCACCTTTCCCTGTGCTCTGGTCACTCAGCTTTAGCTGCCTCCTAGCAGGACGAGCCCACAAGCTATAGAATCCAGGATCATCTCTATTGTAACACAAAATGTGTGTTACATAGTGACAAGCTTGTAATTGTCACTTGAATTCAAGTGACTTGAATTATCACAGAATCATGGCTTCTCACAGACCTGACCTAAGCCAGGTCAGAGAAACAAAGCCCCTTGAATAATGGGGCTAGTGGGTCTCTTGAAAGAAGAATCCTGGTGACATGGCCATAAGCTTCTGCTGTAAATATGCCTTTAAACTTCTTCCCAAAGTCTTAGAGCCATTTCTCAGAGTGAACATGGAATGGGGAATGGGAAAGGGCCGTATCAAGGGTAATCAGACAGAGGCTCAGTGCTAACCCTGGAGTTCTCAAATGCTGCTGTGGGCCACAGAGTGGTGGCCAGGAAGGTTAGGTGTTTAGGTGAGGTGTTAGAGGTTAGGTGGTTAGAGGATAGGTGACTAGTAGAGTTTTAGGCAAAGACTATGATCATTTCCCTGGTGTTGGAATCCTGGCTAGGATAGACATACTGAACATCTGTCAGAACCTGTACATTGGCTCCTGGGATCATACAGTGACAGCCATTCCTATTATAATGGCCTAGTGAGAACCTCTGGAATTTCCTTTCCCTACCAGGATAGGTGGCTCAGATGGTAAAGAATCCGCCTGTAATGCAGGAGACCTGGGTTCCATCCCTGGGTCAGGAGGATCCCCTGGAGAACCAAATGGCAACCCACTCCAGTATTCTTGCCTGTAGAATTCCATGGCCAGAGGGGCCTGACGGGCTACAGTCCCTTGGGTCGAAGAGTCGGACATGACTGAGTGACTGACACAAACACACACAACAGAATAATAAGCCAAAAGCAGTGTTCTTTTCCTATGGTAACTGCGAATACTGGTGTCATCATGAAAAATTTGAAAGATGATGGGAAAGAAGATTTCTATTACATTCCCACTTATACACAGAAGGTATTGGAGTCTTGGAGAATGGCCATGGATCATCACATAGCTAACTGGTCATTGACTCTCATTTCAGCAAGTGCTCTGTATGTGGCCTCTTCTCTAGACTAGTCAACACACAGCACTGGGAACCTAGTGCTGGGCAGTAGAAGCTTCTTCCTGACTTCTGGAGAACATCCACCTTCCCCTTTCTGCCCCTCCGTCTACTCAATACTTTTGTGGCTTAATTCCAGGTATGAAATCTCTCTTCTTCTTGAAACACCTCAGAGTGGTGTTACAGGTTGAATTCCCTGGGAAGTAGGCTAAAACCGAGATTAACATGCAGGGTAATTATTATATGCAGGGAAGGATGAAAGCAGGACTGGGCAGAGGGAGAAGTTAGGCTGTAATGCAATCTCAACCAAAGCCCTTATACTCCTATGTTGATGAGTTATTGAGTGGGTAGTAGGGGATGACCTTAGATAAGGGGACTTTTTTTCAACAAACCAATCCTTGTTGGGGCTGAAAGCAGGGAATTATCTACATCAACATGCCCAGCATCTGGGGATAAACTGATAAAGTGCTTAGTCTTCAAGTGGGATCTGGGTTATACACAAATCTCAACATCCACTAAAGGTGGAAAGTGGAAGGAAGGAAGGAAGATGTTAGAGAGAATGAAATAGCACAGATGCTGGTGAGTTGATGGTCCACCCTAGGGTCAGAAACTCTTAGGTGATTGGAAGAGACTCTACCAGCATCCACATTGGCCAGTTCCAAGGCATAAGGGGTATAGGCTCAATAGTTGTGGCACACTGGCTTAGTTGTTCCATGGCATGTAGGATCTTCCTGGATCACGGATCAAACCCATGTCTCCTGCATTGGCAGGTGGATTCTTTGGGCTTCCCAGGTGGCTCAGTGGTAAAGAATTCACCTGCCAATGCAGGAGATGAAGGAGATGTGGATTCAATCCCTAGGTCTCCCCTGCAGTAGGAAATGGCAACCCACTCCAGTATATGCCATGGACAGAGGAGCCTGGTGGGTTGCAGTCCATGGGGTTGCAGAGTCAGACACAACTGAGTTTGCACACACTTTCTAAGGAGGATTACCCCACTCAAATGATTGGGTCTTTGTATTTCTCGGCTGTGCAAATTCATATTATCCCTAGCCACACAATAAATAGAGTAGTATTTATGCCCACACTTGTTACATGTTTGTTATAAACTATATCATTGCATTGTGTTCTCTGTTTCCCAAACTATTTCAGAGGAAAAGCTTCCAAAACAACTCCTTATGGCTATAAAGAACACCTCCTTTGCAATTGCACTTGTCAAAACAACCCATCCCACAGCCTTTTCCTGACCCTGGGTCTTCAGCTTTGCAGGAGAGGAAATGAGAGCTAATGAGAGAGAGCAGAGAAGTGGAGTTCAGAAAAACAGCCGAAGAAATGCCTTGAAGACTTCTTGAAAGCATGCTTGACCATTTTGCCCTCTTTCTTAAAAACGCATGGAAATGATCCAATTAGTTGGAAAGCTGACTTTTTTCTTCCCCTGCTTTTGTAAGAAGATGAACAGTGAGAAAACACTCACTGCAGTCTTTGGAGCTGAATATAAAGAGAATCTCTAGGAAAGAGGGCAATAATGTTATGGATGATAGGAGGTAAGGGCATGATGTATTTATCAGGAGTGTTGCAGCAGATTTCTATGATGCAGTAGGGGAAATTTACGAACAAGTGACTGGAAGAAAGAAAAACTCAGCATGAAGAATGCTATCATTTGCTGGTGCCTGAACTGACAGGGGAGTGGAGGAAGAAAAATAGCATATGTATAGAGTTTGTGTGAGACATGGTGCCTCAGAGCCGGAGTGCTGGCTATTTCCCATGACATCATTCCATGGGCCCTAGGAAAGTCTCTCCTACTGCTCTCCTTGTTGCTCCCCAAGTGTTTTTGAAATATCACCATTAGAAATTACTTTCATATGTGTTCTTTTCCCTGTATTTGTACTTTGAAGCTTATAGCATGTCACATGAACTTGGGTCTGTGGTTGTACTCTGTAAACGCTTTCTATTGGGCCAAAAACTTCATTCGGGTCCAGAGCGCCAAAACCTGAACGAACGTTTTTGGTCAACCCAGTATTTTTAAAATGTGAATCTTAGGAGTGGAAATGTGGCATTTCATATTTAGTGAGGAATTACTCTCTGTGATATATACTTTCCTTAAAGAATCCATGTGTGATACAGGAGACCTGGGTTCAACCCCTGGGTCAGGAAGATCCCCTGGAAAAGGGAATGGCTACCCACTCCAGTATTCTTGCCTGGAGAATTCCATGGACAGAGGAGCCTGGCGGGCTAGTGTCTATGGGGTCTCAAGAATCAGACACAGCTTATCGACTAAACCACCACCATCACAGCTATTCAGAAACACAGGGCATGCATCTGAGATGTGGGACATTAGGAAGAAGGATGTCAGAAAGAAGGAAAAGCCCACCAATAATCTCAAAAGATCTGCACTTCCTATTTTCTAATGCAGCTTCAGGCCATGGGAAAAATGTGCAGTGGAGTCAGTGTTGTGGGTTCAAGTCCCTCCCTGAACTTATTTTTTATAGCTAAATGTTATAATATTTATAAGAATGAATTGCAATTTGAAAGTTATAATATTTTAACCATACAACTATAAATCACAAGTTAAAAGATGTTTGTAGAAAACCTCTTTCTCTTTATTTCATGGTACTAATAGAGCAACTGCTTTCATTTTTCTGTATTGCCTTCCAGTGTTCATATACATATTTTAAATAATTCTGTAGTTATAGAATACTTTTTATTTTGATTTTTCACATAAAAATACCTCTTCCATGTTGTTACACAGTCTTAAGAATTATAGCTTTTCATGAATTTCTTTGTAATTTTTGCACCACAGAGCAGTCTCAAATTTGAAAAGAGAAACATAGTCACAGGGTTATGAATATTTAGACAGCTTTTGAAATATTACTGGATTGCTTTCCAAAACGTTTGTGGGAGTTTAAAACCCACCAAACATTTTCACCTCGCTTGCTAGCATTGGGTGTTATCATTTTAAATGATTCTATTATTTTAATGATTTAAAATATGATTTTAATGTTTTACTGTGCATTTCTTTGAGGATTGGCAAGGTTTAATGGATTCCCCATATGTTTGAAATTTTCTCAGAATAAAAAGTTAAAAAATGCATATGTAACAAATTTCCGAGGAATTGCAGGAAGAGTACAAAGATCTCTGTATACCTAATGCACCAATTGGATATTTTCGACAGTGCTTTATCATTTTATTTCTCTGTATATTTATAAGTATTATTTTTCCTGAATCACTCTATAGTACACTGAATACATCTTACACCTTTACCCATTAACAATATTGTATTATGTTACATTTCCTGAACTTGATATTTACACTATCATTACATAAAATAATATCATTTTAAAAACTATTCATTTGTTTATTTGGCTGCACTGAGTCTTAGTTGCAGCACATGATATTTTCAGTCTCTTAGTTGCAGCATGTGGGATCTTTAGTTGAGGCATGAGAACTCAGAGTTGTGGAATGTGGGATCTAGTTCCCTGACCAGGGATTAAACCTGGGTCTGCTGCATTGGGAGTGTGGAGTCTTAGCCAAAGTTTTTATCTAATCTAAAATTCATATTGCAGTTTTGCAAATTATTTTACTAATATATTTGAGAACAAAATATGTTTCCTGTCCAGGAACCAATCAATGTTTATGCATGTACCTAACTGTTGTGATTCTTTGAAAGTGAAAGTGAAGTCACTCAGTTGTGTCAGACTCGTAGTGACCCCATGGACTGCAGCCTACCAGCTCCTTCGTCCATGGGATTTTCCAGGCAAGAGTACTGGAGTGGGTTGCCGTGATTCTTCAGTTTCTTTTAATATAGAACATTTTCTCAGCACTGTTTGTCTTTCACAGCACTGACATTTTCAAAACATACAGGCCAATTATTTTGTGTAATGTCCAGCAGTGATCTGGTAAATGTTTAACAGATATCTAGCTGAAAAAAAATTTTTTTGCTGTGTAGCATTTGCCGATTTCTGTGGTGTAAATATTCCCATGGTAGCTGATGTCAAGGTTCTGATGTGATGTTGCTGAATGGGCCACTGGAGAGAATTGTGCAGAGTCAGCTCTCAGGAGCTTTATACATAAGCCAACTCTAGCACATCACTGAATGGCCTTCAGTTCGAGTTCATCTGCCTTTTTCTCATGAATAGAACTGGTTATGCATCTTTGTCAGGAATGCCAATGAAATAATGGTACGTTGTTCTTAGTATATAGTATAGGAGGCACATGATGTAGACATGTCCCGCCTGTGCTTATTTTACTTATTTATTTAAAATATTTATTTTACAATTTTATTGTATTATTCATTTGGCCTTGCCAGATCTTAGTTGTGGCATGTGGAATCTTTAGGTGTGGCATGCCGACTCTCAACTGCAGTATGTGAGACCTAGTTCCCTGACCAGGAATGGAACCTGGCCCCTACATTGGAAGCACGGAATTCTAGTCACTGGACCACCAGGGAAGTCCTCCCATCTGTACTTATTTTAGAATGAGAAAAAATACATATAAACTTGCATATGTGTGTGTATGTGCACAAACAATGTGAATTTATTTCTCCCTCAATATATGAAATGAACAGAAGTGGGAAAATGGGGATATTCCAGTTGAAGCAGAAGAAGTCAGATCCTCAAAGTCCCATTACCCCCACATTGTGACCCTCAGAGGACTCTAAGTTGCACAGTTTGAGAATCACTATCCTATATGGAAGATGGAGGGTTTATTTTCAAAGGGAACTGGATTTTAATTATTTCTGAAGGTTGTGCAATGTTAATAAAAAGGCTTGGTTCACTTATTAATATGATGCCTGTCCAGTGTGCCAACCTAAATGCACCAGTGGGATGCACTTCCATTTATATTTATTTAATTCAAATATATTTTTAATTAAATAGATTTGCATATCAGAGATTGGTCTCACCTAATTTAATTATCTCATTCTTATTTCTTCAAGAGTGGTAATACTTAGACTTAATTTAGCTTTGTGACAATAAATATGTCACCTAATTTTCTGGCATCTAATCCTGTCACCTGTGAAAGGAGAAAGATGTTGGACTCACTGATCCCTGGGTCTGTGTGGGAAAGGACCTTAAAATTCCAAATCAGACTGCCCCAAAGAGACAGAGATTAGCCTAGGTCACTATAAAATAACTGCAGGATTGTCCTTTGTGCTCTCTGAGTCTCATCTTTCTCGAGGTGAAAATCTTGATCTAAGTGGGCTCAAACCAAGGGACAGCACTTCCTTGGCTCTAATCTAGGAAACATCTATGTCTGTTCTTCCCCAAGATTCACAGCTCCCTGGGCACATTTTACCTTCTTCAGGTACCCACGGTTTCTTCTATTACCCAAGGACTTTTTTTTTTTCAGTTTATTATAATGTGTGGATTTTGTTTTTTTTTTTAATTTTTTTCCATTTATTTCATTAGTTGGAGGCTAATTACTTTACAATATTGTAGTGGTTTTTGCCATACATTGACATGTATACCTAAGGACTTTTAATAAGACAACAGGGGCTTTCCTAGTGGCTCAATGGTAAAGACTCTGCCTGCCAATGCAGGAGATTCGGGCTCAATCCCTGAGTCAGGAAGATCCCCTGGAGAAGGAAATGGCAACCCACTCCAGTATTCTTGCTAGTAAAATCCCATGGACAGAGGAGCCTGGCAGGCTATAGCACATGGGGCTGCAAAAGAGTCTGACAGGACTTAGCAACTAAACGATAGCAATAGCAACAATAAAAAACAGTGAGTGGGCAAAAATAACAACTCTATAAAACATCCTATTTTAAAAGTAACTCAGTTTTATATATGTTGAAATATTAGTGAAATATAGCACTACATCTTTAAAAATTATATCTTAATCATTTTATATATATATGTGTATATATATTCTTCAATGGACTGATGGAATTTCAGCATTATAAATCTCATTAATAGATTTTTACTCCAGGTAATAGATTATTTATACATATTTAAGTAAATACTCAGATGTTAATGATATATCTGAAAGAATGACATCCCTTTTTAATACCATGGACGTTATTCAAGGATGCCAGAAATAATGTTGATGTGGGTGTTTGGCTAATCAGCTTTTCAAACGTTTAGATATAAAGGGAATATTACATTTTGGATAAAAGCCAAGGCTAAAGCTAACTTTCAGCTGTCCCCAGTACTCTGCCCCTGCTCCAAGCTTTTAGTAAATCATTTCTGAAAGGACTTTTGAAACTCACCTTTGCCGAGAAAGCCACCAAGGCATTTTCCAGAGCTGAAGCATTTCTAGTATACAGTCATGGTGCAGGCATGCTAGGCTTTGTCTCCCTTTGTTGCTATTTAAAAAAAAATTTGGTTTTAGTTGCAGCATGCAGAATCTTCAATCTCCATTGTATCATGTGGGATCTTTAGTTGCATCATGTGAAATCTAGTTCCCTGACCAGGGATCGAACCTCGGCACCCTGCATTGGGAGCACAGAATCCCAGTCACTGGACCACCAGAAAAGTCCCTCACTTTGTTGTTCTTACCTCTACCTCAGCTCACCTTCCCCAGTAGGAAAATGCACATTTCCCAATGGCTTTTATTTGCTCTCAATTTTCTGTGGGATTATCACCCACTCATTTTTTTTAATGGAGCCAAAAAGTTAGGAAAAAAGGATAGAAACAAGGAAGGCATTAGATAAATTTGGCAACTGCCCTAGGTCACATTTGGGAAGAATGGGTAGCTTGAGGTGCAAATAGAAGACACTGAAACACTGGCTGCTATGCATGTCAAATAGTTCTCCAAAGTATCTTGAGGCCAGAAAAGAAAACAAAGGAGAAAATCATGATAAAAGAGCTACACAATTTTTATAATATCTGTGAAGGCAGAGACCATGTTTTCTGTGTCTCTGTCATGATTTAGTGCTGGACACTTAGTATGTAAATAATTACATGCACAATTAAACTAGATTCCAGTAGCCCAGTTCCTCAGGTCTAGCCAAAGAAATAGCTTAAAGAAAACCCTTGGAAAAGAAATTCTCATGTTTTTCTTATTTTCTCTCTTCCATATCCCCTTTCTGTGATGTTTTATTGGCTTATCATGAATTCTTTCAACAAATATTAAGTGTCTTCTTCTTTTTTTTGTAGGTTTGTATTGTGTTTCTCATTCAGTTACTGTATGGCATTTGCCATAACATATGAACAAGATCAATCTGGTCCCTGACCCAAGGTCTAGCTACAGTTCATGTTGTGGTCAACTTAAATTTGCTGATTGGTTTAGCTGGAATGGCCTCTGCCGTGTGTTGAAGATAAACCCAGTCTTCTGATGTATTTTCTGAGAAATGGTAGTGCTTGCCAATCTTCTTATGCTCTTTCAAAGAATTGGATTTCCTTGAGCTATAAAGCCCCAAATTAAGGTCCTATTCATTTAAAATGCACTTCAGTAAGATGGTTAAGCAATC